GATTTCTTTTTTAGTTTGTATGGGATTGAAAGAAGTGGTTGTAGTGGTAACAGTTGCCAACAGAGATTTTTTAGAGTGAAATTTTGGTTTTCATATTTTAATGTGGGAATTTATAAAGTTAATTTATTGAAGCATGTTATACATTGATACAGGTAGTATGACAACCAACTTTGTTGTAAGTTTATTTGAAAAGGAAATTGTAGTCCTTTTTGGTAGTGTAACAAGGAAATCTAGACATGAACAACTTTTTTCTTTTTCGTTTGCAAAGAAAGTTGTTTGGTTGCTTAGGTGTTCATGAAAATTAATGTAAATTTGATTATTTGTTAATTGGTGTATGAAGGCATTCAGTATAGATAGCTATGTTTTAAATTTTGGGATTCCTTTGGAATTTTGGATAAAGTATATACCTGTAAGTCCAGGTTGAGAATAAGAAGAGATTAGAGAAGTAAATGTTCAGTAAAATCTTCACATTTAGGGGCCGGAATGTAAGATACTAATCTCTGTTTTGTGAGGACATTTTTTGTTTCAGTTGACGATCGGAGTATGACGTCATAAGCGATGTTTTTTTTGGTTGAATTTTTGGTCTGCCGAGTGGGGGCGTAACAATTTAGCTGCAAATGATTCTCAAATTTGGGAAAAGTCATCCTTCTGATTGCGATCAATATTTAGTATTTCCAGACAAGCCCAATGTTGTTGAATCGCCTTTTGTGAACGGTATCGCATCATGCTTGAAATTGTCGCTATTTATTGAAGTGCAGTCAGTCCGATTGGTTGGTTATACGCTACATATGTTATTTCGACTGTATTATTACTTTCACGGTCTGATATTACTTTTTGTATTTTTACACCTATTGAAAGAACAATTCTTTTCATTCCTGTTGTTTATGGCTTATGATTTATGTAAGGAATGTGAATCTTTGTGAAAGATGAAGTATGAAATAAGAACAAAATGAAAGATAAACTAAACAAATTTTGAAGCCTTAAATTAGACACATCTTTCATAGCATAGTATCTTTACTAAAATTATAATGGTTTATTTTTTGACTAACTACCAAATGAAAATATCTTGGGGTACCCATCTCAAAAAGGGAACCTTATTTACAAGCATAATGCTTCTAAGGTTTCCTCTTCATCCCTGTAGATTAAGTTAGCATCCTTTGTATTCAAAGACTTGCATGAAATCGTTTTTATTGTTTTAATATTACCTATCTATCGAATATATTTATATGTTTTGTTACCTTGTATATGCGTTACTTAGTAAATTCTTTTCATATGCAGTTAATATGGAAATAAAACCTAAATACAAAATTTAAAAATTATTCACCGGTCAATACCCACAATTATATATATTTTACAAGTAATTCTCCCGATTAATGTATTATTATTTGTATGTATTAATTGTCACCGCATAGTAATCTAGCTGGTTTGGGGCAGAATTTAAGCTCAGTCTGCCAACTCTCAAACTGCTTAAATAATCAGACGGATTAGTTTTGTTAAGAAATGTTCAAAGTGCTAATTGACGAGTTTAAACCAAACAAAGAAGTATATTTTGGGGGTATTCTTTATTGTTCATACTTCTTTGATGTTTACATATTGTACATTCTATAATTATATTCATTAAGACTCACATTTAATATGTGCCTAAACATCCCCTGCTCATATGGTTATATACAAATGTTGACTTAGATTGCATTATCTAACTCTATTAATTAACTTCTACTTCTACTATTTTTTTTAAAACTATAAGCATCCAACCTTACATAATACAATGCTTTCATGTTTATTTTATTATGCATAGTCTATGTCTATATTCAAAACTCATTTGCATATTTCATCGTTCATTTCCTAACACATTATCGTTGACCAATTAATCAACTTGAATTTCACTGCTATAGTGATAATATTATAACAAGAAAAAATATTAATTGATTATTTATTCATTCGTGTCCACTAATGTGGTAATAAAGCTTTCCACCCCCGATAACATACAATAACACTAATAACCAATACAGACAAAAAGTACAGTAGAACATTGTATATTGTCCTACTGATATCAAACCACAATTAACAAGATGAAATATGCATTCGTACTTTAAGGCATACGTGTATATACATGACTCAATCATTTTTCCTTAATGTTTGCAACTGCATCATACACAATATAATTACTAACCTCTTCTTACGATTGCAGGCAGAGGAAACGTATAGGCCTCCCAAGAAATAATAGGTTTATGCATTAGTCATTTAGTCAGTTATATTATTTAGAATTCAGGGTGAGTGTTAGTGTTAGGGGGTTAGGGTTAGGGTTAGGGTGAGGGTTAGGGTGAGGGTAATATACCAGTTGTATGGTGTTCTGTTAAAATAACATTTAGGGTTATATATAGATTTCCTATTAATGCAACATGTAATGTTGGGGCCTCTTTACTATTTTGTGCATTGTGTCGATGTCATGTTATGTTTTTCCAATTTCTTACCGATTTTAAATGTAATTATTTCCTATTTCAATGTCATTCTTTTGATGTCTTTTTATACATGATTTTGATGTAAACGCAATAAGTAAAATCTCACAATGAATTTCCATGTCATTATTGGACGAAATTGAATATAAATATTCATTTAAGAAACTAACCCCATACCCTGACTTTCATGTATTGCCGTGACCTAAGGTCTGCATCTATTGATTGGATTTGTTTTATTTACCAACAACAGCAATAAATTTCATACAATGATTTTACATATACAAGAAGAGAAACTATTGGATGGTAAAAGGGGGCCAGATAATAGCATATGTGATAGTCGAGCCTTAAACAGCTAAACAAAGTATTTTGGTACAAATCAGTTTAGAAAACGTAACAAAACAAAAAATAATGAATTTACTATTACAATCGATACTTAAAAAAAATAAATAAAAAAAAAGTCTTACAATATACAAACTGTTAATGTAAAATATAAATTGTGTACATATGCAAAATTTACCCAAATTTGTTAGACATGACTGTGTAAGGCATGGTATTTCAAAAGGAAATATTTCAACTGATCCCCGGTATCCACAGATTTGGTAGTAACGCGAATAGATATGGTAAATAAAAACGATGGAGCACAGGACAAATAAAAGGAAGCCATGATAGTTCAGGACAATTTTTAGTCATGGTATTCTATGGATACATGATACGAAACGCCCAAGTCCATCAGCATAGTTTTCTTCCAGTCATTAACATACACTTTAATATCTCACGATTAATTTTAAATCATGGTTTCATCCTCACGGAATTAATAATTGATACATGGACTTATACATATGTACTAAATTAAGACAACAAATTTTGTCTCTCAAAATTATGAAATCTTGTTTTTCTTCATAACTCGAAGTCATTGTGATGGACTTGGATCTTTTTTCTTCTCATATATTTAAATCTTAATCAGCACATTAAGACTGTATTTAATGTTTCATTATAGTAATGTTAAAATGCCTAGCACGTTGACAAAATCTTTCTCTATTGCGTCATTCAATTTTTCGTAGTTAGCTCCTTGATCAAGTTTCAGGGTATGAGGGTCGGTAAAATTCGCGTAGCTCTAAGCATCAGTATTACAATCTTGTTAGGTATGAGGGTTGGCAATATCATCGTAGCCCTGATCAACGGTATTAATATCTTGGTAGGTATGAGGGTCGGCAATATCATCGTAGCCCTGATCATCAGTATTAATATCTTTGTAGGGATGAGGGCCGGTTGGAATCTCGTAGCCCTGAGCATCACTATTCAGATCCTGGTAGGTATGGGTGCTAGTATTAAGATGTTGGTAGGTATGGACGTCTGTCTGTGACTGATCAAATACAGGGTTCTTATACTGCGGAGACGAACCGGACTCCTTCCCTATAGACTTAGTAGAGGCTGATTCATTGCTGAAAGTTAATGATATGAAAGCAAAGATAAATTTCATTGACGAAATGCATAATTAAAGGAATTATCAAGTCCCAATAAATAAATATATAGAAAAACACGTGGGAATTGGTATGGTACTTCTGAAATGCATGTCATTAAAATAATAATCCTTTCAAGAGAGTTGCCAGAACATTTTAATAGCGTTATGCTTTAGGATATATACATAGGGTACCAATAAATAGGTACAAATTAACTCTTGTAAACATGACAACTGATATGTGGGAATTAGTACAAAATGTCAGTAACATGTCAGTAACATCATAATTCTTTCAAACATGTTGCCCTGGTTTCCCTTTAGAAAGCGTTTTGCTTCATTATATTTACATTGAATAGCAATTTAAAAAATGAAGAAAGTAATTAAATAAATTTGTAAATGTTCTAAAAATACAATCATACTTCAGCTTGTATTATCATGTCCATACGGTATTAGCCCTATCCCATGGGGAAATACGATGATAATGGACTAATGAGAGGGACAAGATAAGTACAAGGTATCTCTCTAACCTTCTTCGCTTGTAAAAGATGATGATGAGCACTATAACGATAACAATCACAACAATAGCACCAACAGAGCTTCCTACGACAGTTGCTGTTGAACCTGAAGGAACTCCAGTTGAATCTGATTGTGGTGGAGAAGAGGACGATGTGGGAACTAGGATGGTATAGAAAGACAGGAGTTAGACATACCGAGGGAGCATTGTATAGAGTTGATAGATAAATGATAGGTGAATCCGGTACAGTCAAACCTGCTCTAGTGATCACCTGTCTACAAAAACTACATTTTCCTGGCTCCATCAGGTGGTCTTTATAGACATGTTTCACTGTACTAGCATATGATCATAATTGATTGTAATGAATAAGGGCATGTGAATAGACCGGTCACAGTAGGCTGCTTACTAGCACAGCTAGAAATTGATGATTCACATATCGTGCGCTTGCGACAAAGGGTGCGTGCATGTATGTGTTGTGTTATTGTTCACTAAATGGAAAATATATTGATATTGTAATTTTCACTATTTTACTTTCTTCATGTTTCGAAATATATTTTTAGCTGTTTCATTTTTTTAATTTGTTGTTCATGATATTTCAAGCTTTCTAATGGACCGTCATTGAAACGCGTATTTTAAAATTAATTTATTTAAGATGCCAACCTTGTCTTGATGTAAAGGTCAATGCTGGTCCTTGTTCTCCTTCACCGTTGATACCATCTCGTATCGCTGCAATCTGAACAGAGTACGTCGGTCCTGCTTCAAGTCCCTTGACGTTATACATGACCATCTCAGTGGCATTCTCAGCAGACCTCTTCGTATTGGTCACTATGCTAGGAGCTTGTACTTCTTTAGCCAACACGACATTGCTACCTGATCGCACGTATATCTTGTATCCAACAATCGGTCCGTCCCCGGTATCAGAGCTAGGGTCCCATTGTCTCCAACCGATAGCTGCATGGTAGTATCCAAATTCAAGTAGTTCTGGTACACCATTATAACTTGGTAAAACTGCAATGTGTAAAAAACAAACACAGAGAAAGTGGGTGAAAATATAGTACTCATTTATTGTAATTCATTGGTTCCTTCCTCCCCCCTCCGCCCAGAAATTGAAAGGATAAAATGAGCAGCTAAGGAAACCATTAATTGTACCAACAAAGTTTGTACATGGAATTTCAGTATACCACCTGCAATTAATTGTATGATATGGATATGGAACATAATATTTTGCAATTAATATGTGAAATATTTGAAATACTATAACCAAATACGTGCATCCTGAAAAATGATCTGGCTAAAAACCCGTTTACATTTCTGGATAAATCATGAAAGTAGACCAATTTAAAAAACTGAACGTAAATGAAATACAGAGCTGATCAGGTAGTATTAATTAACATGCCTGAAAGGATTTTCGTGTGTTACAAGTACTCGTTCTTAAAATCCATAGATCATTTAAAAACTTGTAGAGTACAACGTGAAAACTATTGCAATAAACTGCTATGGGGGCTGCTTACCAAAGAAATCTCTTGGAGGTAGCGTTACGAAAGCAAACTCGGAGGAACTCTCAGGCACCCCGACAAAGCAGTAAATTGGTTCTTCTGGCCCCATATACTCGTGGATAAATGAATAATTGAGGGTTGTTCCTGATGTATCAGAGCTAATACGAATTATCCAGGGTTCCGTAGTAGACTTTCCTACAGCTGCTTGCATATAATCAGAGGGAAGACTTTGCCCTGATGACGCTGTGAAGGAACAGGAGAAGATCGCCACTCCTGGATTGGTCTTTTCCAATCTCGTCTCAAAACGATCTAAGTTTGGTGAAAGAACACAACAGCATAATAAAACGTGAATGACAGTTCAAAAGACAAGTGGAGAGGAAGAGATAGATAGTACAAGGGAATTACACTTTTTAAACAATTTCCAAAAATGAACTTAAAGGCAATATCCCTAGTCCACTTCATAGCGATCATCCATAAACTTCTTTCGGGTTTTAAAACATGTCATTGCCATGAAGGTGATGATGCTATGTTATTATGAGGGCTGAACAGTGACGGTAAGATCCAAATAAAAATATGTATTCTTCTGTGCTTCAAGTCTGAACGGCATCGTGACATGCTACCTGCTACTCGTCAATGTATCTCTCACCGCAGTTCAACACTTATAAGTGCCCATCTCCTAGACTTACCGCGTTGTAAAACCCAACGATATAGGAACTCTGCTATCCCGTTTTTAACACAAATGCTCAATTCTTCCATGTAGTTTTACCTTTTTACCCCATGAATGCCTACTATAGGCCTACATGTTTTTAGTAACATGATAGATATAAATGTGCCCTAAATATGCACGTGGCTTAAATTCCTTAAATGTATATATTTTGTAATGCTCATGTTCCTACATTATATTAATGAAACAACTTTATTCCGTTTACATGGTTTTTGCAACTTTTCAACTTTTTAATTTATAGCATATATATATAAATATAAAGTACAATAATGCCAGAACGAGACACTGCGTTTAATTTTGTTATTTTTTAACTCTTTTTTACACATTATTTACACACGCTTGTTTCTTTAGATCTTCTGCAGGTGCCCATTTCATTTCATAGAGTTGTGTATGTTTAAAACATGTAAATCCGATATTATCACCATCACATTTTATCTATCAATTTATGTTAATTGTGTTTAAAATGTAAATGTAAAATCTAAATGTTACGAGAAAAGGAAATGAAATGCTTTGTCCATTCTCTCTCTTGTATCTTCTTTTTTCCCAACTCATTCATGTATGTAAATTCGATTTTATTTCATGTATGATGTGCAATATATTTAAGTTTCCATTATTGTTATTGTTAATTTATTCCTTGAACCAATTTGTGATCGTTTCCATATTGAAGTACATGTATTTTTAATTTCTCTTTATTTCTTCATTTGAACTTTGTAATCTTTGTTTGTATCAGTCTCCCGACTGTTTTAACATGGAATTTTGACACAATAAACCGAAATGAATGAATGAATGAATGAATAAGCAGCTCAGAATTATTTCTGAATGTATTTAAAAAAAATGAAAACAGTTTTATTATGGAAGAATCAAATCATGTTAACTTTCACAAATATTTCAGACACCATGCAGGAGACATGTAATTATTCCAATCCCAGTTACCTGTTTGGCATTGATCCCCGGTCCATCTTGGATGACAGGTGGATGACAAACAATCACCAGTCAGAAAGTTACAATCCTCAGCACCACCAGAACAATGACATGTCTTTGAACAAGAGCTGAAACATCCTGAAACTAAACAAAATATATAAAACAGCCTTAGGAAGACATTTCTGATCTTCTATGAAACTAGAATTTAAAACTGTTAGTTAAAAGGGATATCGCATAATATTGGAGACAAGTGTACTGTCATGAGAATAAACAGATACCGAATATTCGAGTATACTATCGCACTTTTGAATAGCAAATCATAATATTAAACAGGTTAAATAATGGATATTAAGATCTTATAGTTATACGGGGATGTCACTTATTGTCAGAATATGTACATAGATTTAAGAAGTGGGTTTGCTAATTTGTTTAATTAATAAAGTGGTATAGGGACCTTAATGCGAGCATTCGTTTCTAAATATCTGTTGTATTTCAATATAAAATATTAATAAAAGTAATCTTACATGTCATACAGTTGGATGGAAACTCGACAGATTCAGTGACATATCCCAAGTCGCACTGCCCTTCAACCTCGTCACAGTATCCAGAATCTTTAAGGCATGGTGTGCCATTCATGCAATTGCATTTTTGTGTACAGTTTGTCCCGAAGTATTCGTTTGGGCAAACAGAAGGAACTAAAATGAGGAAATATGTATATATATATATTTTTTTTTGGATGAAAACAACATAAGTCATGGGCAGCATTTTTAAGCGAATGACATTCCTTTAATATGTACATTTATTTACTATGTCATTACGTTAAAAACAGAAACAAAATGAAGGCAACATGTATTTTGATTCCATGAATTGTTTGTCGGTTTACCGATGGAATGAAATCGCGGCATAGGAATATTCAAAAATAAATTGGCTTTTAAAATCACATCGAAAAGAAGTTGCGTTGGGAAAAAATAGTCAACATGAAAGGTTGGGACTTATCTCGGGTCTTTTTTTATCAATAAAATTTATTCAGCATTGTTATGATCCTTTATATGTCATTTTCAAGTAAAGTAAATGATTGTACCTTGACATGCTGAACCAGACCATCCTGGCGAGCAATCTCCAGAACATTCTCCAGTGACGTCATCACAATCTGCCCTATCAGTACAATGACATTCTTGATGACAATCAGCTCCAAAAATACCATCTGCACATGCTTTAAGACAGAATAGAAGTGATATAACGAGATTTGTGGATCTATTGAGATACTATTTATTTGATTTGCTCCCCAGAACATTTTAATTCGCATTCGACCTAAACATCTTTTCGTTAAAGGTAAAGACCAGTTATGGTCATGCGATTGCATTGTGAAAGAAACGTTGTGGAATCGATTAGAAAAGGTTGATCATCTAGCATCTAGCATCTGCAAGGTTCTGGAATCATCAAAATGATAAGAAATTTGGCCCATTCTTCGTAAAGTTACAAGCACTATACACAGAAAGATGTATATGGGACTACCCTATATATCTCACAGACCATGAGAGAAACAAATTTACCAAATATATGAATTAGTAGGCGGTTTCCCGGCAACTTTTTTATCATCATGTATTAGTCAAAACATATTTTTTCACATGATTGGTAATAAAAGCTTCCATTTCATTTTTTGAAATTGGGGCGTTTCCAATAGTGGTCTTTACCTTTAAAGTAGTACACATGTACCCATTCTGAAATCCTGAAAATTGTTATGCATATACCCTTTCTTCATAATTATTTTCACATGTTGAGGTATTATGATCATTATCTCCAAAGTAAAACCCATCTTAGCGATTTGCACCCTGCAAATAAAAAAAAGTTTCAAATACAATTGTTTTCATAAAGGTTTCTGATTGTTTCACAATGGCAATCTTGACATAAGTCGTTTAAGCACTAACTTTCATTGCAGTAGATGCCTGTATATCCAGCTAAACAGGTGCATCCATAAGGATCAGGTAGACAGATCTGGCTTCCAGAACACTTGTCAAGAGGCTGACCGGGTCCACATTCAAATTCACAGTCCCAGCCAAACTTATGCATCCCACACGCTGCATGAAATGTATATACATATGTACAAAGTGTTTTATTTGTATATAAAACACAAGTTTTAAAAGGGTCCTTTCTCCAATTTCTCGCTGTTTTAATTCACAAGTGTCGACATTTAAAATCCTGTCATTCGACAATAAACACAACTGATCCAAAATTTCGTTACTAATAAATAAATCTATGATTACAATAAATGTAATGTAGAATGAGAAGATATGAGCATGTAACATTACATTTCTAACAATCATTAAAAACGGTCCCAATATTTTGTTCTCCTCTTGCTTTGATTGGAAAAATTGTTTTGAGTATTTATAATCATTGGCAATTAAGAATTGAATTAAACGAATAGTTCCTGACGTGAAAGTCAGGCAAGTGAAAAAGGTTCATTTTCTCACGAAGGTTATGTAAGTAATAAAATAACCTTTGTTTCTTTATTATTATTATATTATTAGTTATTATTACGTTGATCATCATTATTGTCCTCATCATTATCATCACCATCATTAGTCTCATTCTCTTTCCTCTTTTCCTTTTTTTCTTTTCTTTTCCTTTCCTCCATCTTCCTCTGCTTCTTTTTTTTATCTTCTTCTCCTCCCTTTTTTATTTGTAGTGTTTGTGTTATTATTGTTTGGAATTAACATTATAAAACGTTCAGTATCTAATTGTAAAGATTAATTTTAAGGCAAAGAATGTATTGGACATAGAAAAAAAAGGTTCTAATGGATGAATTTTCTTGAGGGATTTTTCGGTTTTACCTTGGAGGCAGTTCTTTCCAGCATGGCCAGGAGGACAAATGCATGTTCCTGAGAGTTCGTGGCATACACCTCCATTATAACAACTGTCACACAAACGGTCGCATAATGGTGGATTCCATCTTCCATAAGGGCACTCTGTTAATACAATGAAACACGAACAACTATGATATATATCCCACACGTACGTTAATCCCGGGGATTGGTGTTATACCCCGTCACACACACTTACACATTTTCGAAGGGGGTGGGGGAAGGGGGGTACAAAATACCCCCAGAATAAGGAAATCAGTCATATCTTTTAAAGTTTTGAAAAGGTTGAAAATCAAAACTTCATTGCTGAGTGTCTTTTGTAAATATTTGTTAGTCCTCGATTAGGCTTTATACTGCAGAAACTGTCATTCAATCATGGAAATTACAACTTTGCATTCATCGATATTCCTTAATCTTTACTGTCGTATTAAAATATATCTGGTCGGGTCGGGTCATTTATTTCTTTCTTGATTTTTTTTTTTTTTTAATGACCATAGCTACAGACCTGAAGGGAAAAAGGTTCCAGTGAATTCATATCCTTGTGACCAATATGCAATGATATATTTTCGATGTGTAAGAAAGACGAAATTCGAACCCTTTACGATGAGTCTTATAAGGCTGAATTGATGTAGTTCCAACGTTCCATCCATGTACGTCACATACACACCGGCGTCTGAGACAGATGCAGATTGGATCGTGTGTGATAGACTGTCAGAACTCATTTCAATAAGTGAATTAGCCCAGTCTACATCATTCAATTTCCGCCATCTTATCCCGTATTCACCTAGCATCCCTGTCGTGCTCATCACACTGAGTGTGATATCGTCTCCAATATGTATAGTCTTTGTAAACCGACCATCACTGGGTTGCAATTGACCTATATAAAATAAAAAGGAAAATCGACAACACCTTACATTCGAATCTTATTTTCTTGATTCAACAAAATTGCGTCATCATGTCTTGCATTCTCTCTTTCTCCCTCTAGCCCCATTTATCCTCCATTATTTTTACATTGTCATCAACTAAAGATTCTTAGAATGAAACAGTAGGGGAAACAAGTTTCAAGCATTAGCATTTATGGTATAAGAGAGTTTCTTGAGCTGTTAACATAATCATTTGCTTTTTATGAATATTTACATTAAGTTGAAATTGTTGTATTACATTTTAAACGTAAACTATTAACGACTAAATTATTAACAACCTTTATACCAAATCAGTATGTGAAAAATTGATTTGTCCCAATTTGTGTCTTTAGAATATTAAAGCCTTATCTTACACATGAATATGTTCAACAAACGCCCTCATTCAATGAGTCCACCTTGCATTCATCAGTTACGAAACACACACACACACACACTTATTTACTAGAGGTATGAATAACTTAGTTGTTAACTGTTTGTGTATATGTACGGGAAGAAAGAAGAATGCCAAGAGGAACAGATGTCATTCTACTGGCTGTCACTGCAGAACATTCGAAAAATCCCAAGCCCTCCGTGGTATCTGGAAGAGTCTGTCTTAATACTACAGACGACACATTATCGCTGACTCCTGGAGCTGTGTAACTATCGGAAGTTATAGCCTCAGTCAGACGGACGAGTCTTCTGGTGGAGAATGTGAGAATCTCTTCATTCTTTGAGCCGAGTAGACAGATAAATGACGCATCCAGCAGTCCTCCGCCGTAGGGTGATGGAGTAGCTGCCAGTAGACGTATAGGAAGGACCTGTCGCGGACCTATGGGAAATCATTATGTTTTGCAAGTAATTAGTGTCCGCCTACATCTTCGTTAGAGGAGAAGTAAGAGGGAATTGTTTCACACTTCAATCTTACATTTCGTATGTTATGATAATGTTTGGTCCTTGTTGATACATACAAATACATTTTCATACATATATTTTCAAACAAAATTGCCTCCACTTCTAAAATCGAATTGTATAACAATTTATGGGAAACCCAATCTAAATGATATATGAGACTTTATGAAGTCACTTTCCCTCGAGTTATCAATCGTAGATAAATCCTAAATAAATAGGAATGTTAAATATGCAGATTATACATTTCAAATGATAAAGTATTTCCATTTTTGCCTCGAAAATACTGTACAAGCATCGATTACAATGAGTGGTGATATTCTGTTTTAAGTGGATACCAACTACGGATTTAAAACAGTGGTTACAAAATATTAGAATGTCATCAATCGATATTGTTCCGTTTGTGGAATTTCAAATGTAATGTAATAAAGTGAAACTGGCATCATTTGAGCATGGACTATCATAAAGGAGTACCCCTGAATACAGATAATAGAAATATAATGACAATACTCACTCGGAGGTTTTTCACATGCGAACCTGAGGTAGGATGTACATCGTCGTTTTCTCCATCCATTATTAACCTGCTGATGAACACATCTTTCATTCTCAAATAGGGTTCCATTACCATCCGACCAAGCAGAAAATCTCGAAAGGTAAAATAGGTTCCAGACAGTAACGTATTATCAAGGTTTTAACAGGAATGTGTTACCTTAAACGGCATACTCATGAAAGGTTGAAAGCGTTATGTTAGCGGTATGATCCAGTTTCACTTAAATTATTTATTATATAATTGAAAAAAATTAATCTAAATAATTATTCCTTTCATTCCTGCATCATTTTAGGCTCCATGAAGTCCGCATAAGAAGAAGAAAAAAATGTAAAGTAGGACAAATTCATTATTTTCTCTTTTTTTATTGGGGGGGGGGTGGGTGCCATCAATCCATCGGAAAATCCCTCTTAAGCTTGATTAATATCAACTTGTTTATCAGATATTCATGTTATTAAAGTTACTTTCCAGTTTCTGCCTATTATATTCTGTCCACAACATAATATGAATAATATAATTTAATAGAAAATAGAACAAATTCATTATCTTCAACATTTTCGTGGGGGGGGGGGGTGCTATCAATCCATTAGAAAAAAACATCCTCTAGTTTGATGAATATCAACTTGTATCTCAGAAAATCATGTTATTAAAGTTGACATATCAGTTTTTTAATTTAATACATACTCATTATTGTCAAGTGGAGTGCCATCAATCCATTGAAACGTGTCCTCTTGATTGATATCATCGAGTCCAAACCAATACGAGTCACCTCCAGCCAGCTCAATGAGAAGCATCTGGCGATTGCGTTAAGAGAATATATCAGAAAGAGACAAATAACCGATGACTATTTCTAGTGTGCCATGATCATGAAAGTGGGATAACTTTATCGATATATCTATAGTCTATAAATAGTTGACATAATATTATGTTATATTTGGCTCATCACATCGATATCATGCTTCTTAACCTTTTACACCCTTTTCCGATTATTCTCACATAACCTAACAGATTTGTCATTCCTCCTTACATTACTTTTATTGTTTCTATTTTATATTGTGTGCACTGTCACACAATTGCTAGATTAAAGCAGTTAAAGTTTTTATCGCGTTTAATTCATAAGTTCCATAATTGGAATTAAACTTCTGAATATCACGATGCGTCCTTACATTGATTTCTTCTGTTTTAGGCTGGGCAAGATCCCCTTCTTGAGCCTGGCAGTACTTTCTAGCAAACGAGTATGACGTCATCGAGGATTGAGAGATATAGTACAGGGTTCCATCAAGGTGACTCCACTTATATTCTGGAACGACTATGTATTGATTAAAACAAGGTGATTGCCATTATTAGACATTCATCGTGTTATAAGAAGAAAGAATTTCAAACCATTACGTTTCATTGCATTTTATCATAGTCATACTGATAGAACACGAGACAAGAGATGAGAAGATCATGGATTCACTTTTCGGCATGGCACTTTAATTTAACCTACTCCTCTCCACCCATGTGTCTTTGGTACCATGTGGTATGCAAACGTCTCCTTTGTTGGGTTTATACTGTTTGCGTCTGTAAAATGACACCTGGCTAGAGTAATCCTCAAAGAGTGGAGAATGTGCACACATTGTATTTATGAACATACCTTGATCGGATGACGGAGATAATAATAAAATGATAAGAGATATTGTGTACGCAGTGCTAAATAAATACCATTATAAGTAGTTTTGTTTACATGCATTTGCAGAAATAGACATGACAATATTTTCAGTAAATTCAGGCAATCACCGGATCGTGTCTCGCATACATGTGACAAACTGATATCAATATTTCCAAAGAGCATCCCTGACCCAAGTTCGGATGCACTTTATTTGTGACAAGATATTCTAGCAGATAAACTTTAACATATGACTTCAAATGACCTTTGACCTTAGCATGTAACCCTTCAGAGCACCGTGAAGGTCCCCCGAGTGCAGCTGTGACCAAAGTTTGGTCATAATAGGATTGACGGTTGCGAAGTTACCTGCCACAAGAGAATTTTGCAGGTACACTTTGTGACGGACGCCGGACGCCATTTGAATCCCTTAGTCTCGCCTCCACCTTCGGTGGAGATGACAATAATAGCAATGATGATATACCATTCTTGTATAGCGCATATCACAATACTATATAATAATATTTATCTCTGCATTTCCAAACGATATTGGATATTATTAGCCCCGTAATTAGTGCCTTGCCAAAGGACTTAAGTGGTGCAGCACGGACTTGAACCCTCCCTTTGTCGCATTTAAGATAAGATGCATAAGAGGTTTTAAAGGCTGTGAAATGGGGCATTTTTTAGAGAGACAGGTCGCTTTGCATTCTCGCATTTTTTCATTATAACGTAATTTTACATGTCAATGTGAGATAAAATCAATACAATTTCGAGTTAAAACTTTCAAAAATATATCTTCTAGCTTAGTATACTAGCATATATGTTTCTTCAGATCATTCCAAACTTTGCAACGATGGAAACCCTGTGGTACCAGATCCACACTCCGGTGACTTATCCACATTGGCAAAACCCACTTATGGGTTGGGGGGGGGGGGGGAGGGGGTTAAACGTTAATTCAAAAAATAGAATTGAAGGTTTCTGCAACTCGACAACAGTGGATTAGCGGCTCTCTTATAAGTTACTATTTAAATTCAATAGACTTTTAAGCAATTGAAAATAGAGAGAGAAAAGAAAAATGAAATGTTGGCTATGAAACAGAAACGACTATACGTGTTAGGTCAAGTGACTTACCCTGATAGCGTTCACATATGAAGGGTCGGTCGAAATCACAAGGAATATCAAGCCATCCCATGTGTGGATCAGAAGATAGAGTGGCACAATCTTCATTACCAGCGTTGTTGGGTTCAGGATCCCTCCATGCTGAATACCTGTGTGTATTGAATTAAGAAGAATGCAAAAAAAACAACATGCAGGAATAAACAGACGGTTATACGAAAGAATGGTTCTATACATCTTATTTTTTTTCTTTGGGGGGGGGGGGGGGGGTTTCCTCTTTTTTTTCTGCATTATATATGAAGATATGAAATCCGAATTCTGATAATTGGATTATAATGACCTTTGTTATATAAGTGCACTGTGTTATATATTGGGTTCAAGCTTGGCTGAAACACCCGTACGAATATACTCTCTCAATCAATAAGTAAACTTCCCCACATCACTTTTCAATATAAATCGAGAAAGAACTCATGAAATTAATTCGAAAAGCGTAGTATGAACTACTGTTTTAACCATATTATTTTGATTGCATATTCAAAAATTGTAATTCTCATGCGGATTTTCTTTTTTTTAATGCACTTGTACAAAATATTTATAAACAAGTGCACTGACATACATCCTCCTTTGAATTACGACATGCAAAATTCACTTTTTGTGTTACTTCCAACTGCAATAATTTCATTATCAAAACATAAGTTAAAGATCAAAGTATAATCTTGAAAACTGTTACGCATACTTGCTTTGTAGACCAACAAATTACACCAATTAATGTTTTTCGAGTTACAATGAAAAATGTGTTGGATTCTTTTATTTTTATTCTTGGGTCTAGGATTTCAACCTACCTGAAAGGACATTTTACAAATCATATAATTACAGAATAATATAAGCAACTTAGAGTAAGGCAGTTATTTCAAAGTAGAAACGATTAAGTATGCATTATAAAGTAATTGAACCTACTGTAAAGGTGTTCCATCGATCCATTTAAATGTGCCTTCTATTGCTTGGTCAGTCAAACCAAAAAATACAAGGCTGTTTAATCCCAAAATCCTGCCATGAAGAAAGGTCTGTTAAGAGGAAAACAGAAATGTCACCTCATAAACATCAGTTGCTTATTTTGTTTTCTCAATTGCTTGACTATAAAGACATATTTGTCGATTTCGTAATGGAAATGAAGAAGAAAAAATATATAGTAAACGAATAAAAATGAAATCAAGCCGAAAAGGCGGTATTTAAAAAATCCCAACTCTCCTGGGCTCAGAGGAATATATTAGAATTAAATATCATTCGTTAATTTGAAGCTGCTGAAAGATACGATGACAGGAATGTTTACGCGTAATGGTCATGTCAATAAAACAATGATAAGAAGTAATATATCAAATAAATAAATTAAACTATTCACAATTCTTTTTTATATCATTGTATAAATTTAAATGAAATAGCGGCGTTGTCAGAGAATAATAGGATTTGAGATATATTGGAAAGCTTCAAACATAAGGATTGGGGATGACTGTGTCTAAATTATGTTTCATTATCTCCGCTATCGACTAAATATCACGCTTTTTGATATTATATAAATATTCATTCACGAGGAACCAGTTGGCCTATTACGTCATATACGTCATTCAATCGCAATATTATGAAAAGGTATTTATTCCCTGTTTCAATAGCTATGTAAACTCCCAAGCTCTGAAATGAAATACTAATATAACAAAAAAAAGGACATAGGTTTCATGATAACAACATTTTGGATATCGCTAGCTGAAAGAAAAGAAGTATACTTAAACATACGTTGATATCGTATGATTTGATGAGTGCTAAATCAGCTCCATGATACTGACAGTAGATCCGTGCATCTGAGTAAGACCGAGCCAGCCATGACGGAGAGATGAAATAATCTAGACCTCCAAATGATGCTTCACTGCTTCCATCATTTACTGTAATATAATATACAATCTATTTGAGAGTGTATCGTGATGAGAAAGACTGTGATTTTAACGGAATTGCGTCGACTATTCTCTGCACAATATATAGACATTTCCCAGATTCTACAGAACCCAATATTGGCATAGCGGTCGACGGTACTTTTGAATGTTCGACTAAAAGGGTTCAGAAATATTTTTTTTTCATTTCTTAAAGATAAATTATATCTGAACTGTTTATTTCGTCGTTGTAGGAATACGAAAGAGTTCAATCGAACAATTGAAGTGACATTTTTTGTAGTGAGAGAAAGCTACGAATACAAAGTTATACGACATCCATACATCCCATGATGGTTTGATAACATTATTGTATTATTATGATGTTATAATAACGGATTTCGTCGAAGGAGTAGCGCAATTTTATTAAAAATATCTAAAAATCATTTTAAAATTCTGCTCCTACGAAACATATTCTAAAGAGAATAGCTGTGCAATCGATTTTTACACTAAAAGAATTCCAAACTTCAACCCTTTATCCGAATGATAACACCGACCCTTGCACAATCCCCAATCTCCAACCCGAATGCCGTATGATCCAACGACATTACGTTTGTTTCAATATAGCTCTAGTCCTGTAGAAGTTATTCAGACCTGGAAAAGTTGATTGGTACAAGTTTTTTCTAGTTGATTTGTGTTCTAGATGGGTATTGAAGTAAATTCAGCTTGGTTGCCAGCTTGGCAACCTTGGGCAACTTTTTTTAAATAGCCATATTAGCATAATCATCTAATTAGCATATGTGCAATATGTAATAATGTTGCTAATCTCATTCCATGAAGCCTGAAAACACGGATAATGTGACTTTTCGAGGGTTTTCTATGACGAGGAATTCCTTTATGACACCAGTTTTTGATTGCAAGTAATCCGATTGTTTTAAATATCATAACTTAGCATATGTACAATTTCATTGTCATTGCTTAACTATAAAGCATAAAAATGGTAAATATATCGTACACATGCTAATTAGCTCGTTATGCTATTTAAAACAATTGCATTACTTACACATAAATTCTGGTGTCATGAATGAATTCCTCGTCATGGACAACCTTTGAAAAGTCACATTAGTCATGTTTTCTGGCTTCCTGGATTAAGATTAGCAACATTATTACACTCTGTACATATATGCTAATTAGATTATTATGCTAATTAGGCTAACTATACTACGTTATACATGGAATATCTACTCGTGAATTAATGATTAGTCTTTTAAAAGTGATTTACAATGTTGCATTGCACCATTTTCAGGCTTTATATAAATAAAAAATGACAATGAAGTCCATACATTGTACATAGGCTATGCTTATTATGCTATTTAAGACAATTATTGCATTACTCAGAAGAAATGAATTCCTCGTCATAGAAAACCCCTGAAAAGTCGTATTAACCATGTTTTCAGGCTTCCTGGATTGAGATTAGCAACATTATTATATATTGCACATATGCTAATGAGATGTTTATGCTAATATGGCTATTAAGAAAGTTGCCCAAGGTTGCTAAGCTGACAACCAAGCTGCATTTACTTCATTACCCATCTAGAACATAAATTAAAAAAAATAAAAAATTGTACTTATTAACTTCCCCAGGTCATGTACAAGGTATATGGTACCGTCTACTGACTACTCCGGAGCAACAATCGTCAGAACACAATTAATGTTGGATCACCAATAATCATACCTCGTGTACGCTCACAAATGTACGGCAAAGATACGGATGAAGACTGGTCATACCAGGAAGGACCATCACGTAGACCAAGACAACCCCAGGAGTCACGAGTATTTGGCTCCGTGGTAGTAAACCAATCGTCATACCTTGGAGGAAAAACGCTATATAAATTAAGTTCGCGTTATGATCGTTATCATCTGTATTATGATTAATAATATAATAATAATATATGGAGCAGTAGTAGTATTTTTTGTTATTATCATCATCCTCATCATCATGATTATTAGTAGTATTATCATTATTATTATTGTATTGGTCGTGCAATATTGAGAATAATCATGAAGGTTTAGATATCCTTCATCAAAGTGAATTTGAATTTAAATCTTTATTCACATTAACCTCATTCCCCTCCCCCTTATATGCTAAATACATTCTGTGAGTATGTAGCATGTAAAGAAACAGACCAGAAATCTGGTCATTGTATCATTATCTTGTAGTGCTAAGCCAAGCTTTTTAAATTCCATCTTCGGGATATTCATCTTAAACATAGACATTACAAAGTATGCTAATAAACTACGCTATGCGTGTAATGGACACTGGATACATTTAAACGAAAAGTATTTTTAGGAGAACTATTGTAACTGAAGATTAAATCTAGATATACATAGGCGTTCATCAAAATATATTCTTTTATCCTGACTGATCTCGACAGAGCAAACATTTTAGGAACATACTGGAGTCTAGTATCATCCAGCCAGTAAAAAGCTCCCCTGCCGATCCTTCGAAGCCCGAAGAGGTAACAAAAATATGGATCACTTGGATTAAATGGAAGTAGAAGCGCCTTGAGAAATATCTGTAAAGCAAAATGGAAAAGAATTTTTTTTTCTCACAAGTTCAGCCAGAATGGGGAACCTTAGCGTAAGTTGAGATTGTTCCCTGTGTTTAATGTAGGGGTCCGTCCCTATCTCGCTTTCTCTTTCGCTTCTCTCTCTCTCTCTCTCTCTCCCTCTTTTCTGTTTATCTCACTTTCCCATTTTGATTGATTGATTGATTGATTTTTATTCGACAAGCTTCCAACATACAACAATATACAATAATAACAGATCAAAAAAAGTCAGCTTGAACAGGATAACCCACGAAAGCTCGAGAGCTTATTTCCAGTGGGGTCCCTTACAGACATGTATAAAATTAATAAGTTAAAATAGTAATATTTACAGACAGATAAGAAAATTAAAAGAACTACATGTACTTATTAAAGATAATAATAATAATAACAACATTAAACTGATGATAGAAATAATATTAAGTACAAGAAGAAAAAGAAGAAGGAGAAGAAGAAAAAGAGGAGAAGGAAGAAGAGGAAAATAATGATGAATTTGTAGAATTTCTATAACGTACGAAAACATAAGTATATACAACATGAAAAAGTATGAACCGACAGAAGAATAAAAATTTCAATCATATAACATGTCATTCACTTCTCTTCTCTGACTGTCAAGTATTAGGTATTCCTTTAATTTCCTCTTAAAATGATCATAGTTTCCTATTTCTTTTACACCATTGGGAAGGGAATTCCAATGTTTTATGGCATTGTAATAAAACGAATTTCCAATACTACCTACTTTTTCAGGTAAGTTAAAGTTGAATCGTCTATTTCTTGTATTATAATCATGTACGTCAGTAACAAGATCGAAGTTGGATCGAATATAATGATTCGACCTAGTATGATATATTTTATGCACATGATGCAATACGAGTTGTTTTGATCTTTGGTCGACTTCAAGAAAACCAGCTTTAGAAAGTTCGCTGTAGCCAACATGAGTTCTTGGACCAGAACAGTTGATAAATCTCACCATTTTGTTCTGTATAATCTTCAACTTCTTTTGATCTGACTTGTTTATGTTACTATACCATGCAGGGTTAGCATAGTCAAATAAACATTGAATAAGAGCAAAACAGAGTGTACGTCTTGCTTTTAAATCCATACAACTTTGATATCTGTACAAAAATTTCAGACGAGAATTTGCTTTTTTTACAACTGATTCTACTAAAGATGAAAATGAAATTGCGCTAGCCAACTCAATGCCTAAATACTTCACAGACTCTTTTCTCTTGATTGCCTGATTATTGTGTGTCACTTTGAATTCAAATGACTTTTTAGAACTACTTTTAGAACAAAATAAAATGCTTTCTGTTTTTCCCAAGTGTAAAGAAAGCTTATTATCAGTCATCCAATCGACACACGTAGACAGCTGTTCACTGAGCTTTTCCTCAATATATTTAGGATCAGGATTTGAATAGAGTAGTACGCTGTCATCTGCGTACAATAATAGTTTGAAGTCTTTTATACAAATACACATATCATTTATATAACTTGAAAATAGAATTGGGCCTAAAATGCTTCCCTGAGGAACACCGCAAGTTATAGGCATTAGTTTGGAACGAATATCATGAATGGCCACTACTTGGTGCCGATTAGATAAGTAGGATCTAAACCAATCTAAACTTCCCTTATCAAAACCCATTAGTTGTAACTTCTTCAATAAGACGCAATGATTAACTGTATCAAAAGCTTTTTGCAGATCAAGGAGCACCATACAAATTTCATTAATAATTGATGTTTAAACTGTGCATGTGAACGGCACTTGTCTTTTTCTTTGCATTGTACACTTTTCATATTATCTTGCATATTGCAACATACTGTTTGAATTCATTTGAATATTTTTTTGTTAATGTCTTTAACCCTTTGAAAGAGCAATCAAGCATTTATAACGAGCTTATTATATTAGAATAATAAGAAGATCAGCGAAATTTGTTTAGTAGAAGAGCCCTGTACGCCCGCAAGAAATTATTAATGAAATCATCCATCACTGAAAAAAAAATATGTTGAATATTAAAACATATAATATTTTTTCTGTTCCAAAAGGGGGATGACAGCCCTTCAAAAATAGCATGACCGTTTCTGTTTTTCCTTGTATAGTTTTGTTCTTATTTGATTAAAATTTCTTTACTTTCATTCGATTATGCCGTGTAAATTAATTAAGCAATGCGATTTCACGATTGTTCGAAATACAATTAGCGACTGAAAACACATTTTAAATGCCATATGATTGAATTTTGTTAGAGAGACAGGTTAACAGGCCTATCCAACCCCCCCCCCCCTCACTCTGAACCACCCGAAAGTAACAGCTTTAATATCATCAGGGTAGACTTCCCAATTTATGAACTAGGGAAGGGGGGGGGTCATTGTCCGTGCGGTTAATTTTTTAGGGGTGAGGTAATTGTCCATGGGGAGGGGGGGGGTGCTTGTTCTTGGGGTAATTTTTCGGGGGGTTATTGCCCTTGGGGGGGGGGGGGAGTTTCCAGGGGTCTTTTTCTGGGTGGGGGAAATTGTCCTAGGGGGTCATTTTCCTGATAAGGGTCTCTCCATTGGGGGTGAACAGATTAAGACTCTAGGTAGGCCTACATCTAGTATGCCATGTGGCGTATATTTCAGTTTCCGTGATTATCTTAATCACCTTGACCGTGTGAATACTGTACACAATGTGTTATTAGACTTACGTTGACTTCGGCTGTCTTGATGATAGCCAAATCACCACCATAACTTTGACATGTTTCCCTGGCATCATTTGGCGTTGCACGTGGTGTGAACTTGATGAGATACTGAGATTCACCGAGCTCTTGCCATCTACAGCCAACGTCTGTTTATAACATTCAATGAAACCATACGCTAGGTTAAAAACGGCTGAGAGCTACTGAACTATTAAAACATGAAACATTCCATGGGCTATCAAAACCATGATGTCAACGAGCATAGCTTATAACGATGCAAGAATCTAACCGCACTTGGTAATGTTGGCATTGTATGCATGCACAGTACATATAATCAAAGGACAATCCAACCCTTGTATTAAACGTACGAAATCTCAAACTGGCAACTTGGTCCATGGATTGTGACGTAGACACGGACAACTGTCCCGCTTGTCGTGAACAAAAATATCAGTAACTTCTTTTTATCTCGTTACTGGTGCACTACTAAAAATACATTATGAATAGAACATTATTATATATCTTCTGTAGAGAAAATACCTACCAAATTTAAATATTTTGAAAAGATTGACATTTAAACATTTTGTATATCAGAACAAATGGAAAAATTGTCCGCCACTACGTCACAGGGACATTTTCGTATCAGCAAATTGAAGAGCCCATACCTAATTTTGTCCGATTTTATTCAGAACTTTCACCTGTCTGCTTCCCTGATTTTCGTGCATTCTCCTTGTCTAGTAGTTTGCTATCGAGGTTAGATTTCCCTTTAAGACATCACAGATCACAAATATTTTTAACAGATAGACTGTATGTTATTAATTTATTGAGGACTAACCTTCTTTGTGCTGTGATTCCAGCTTACATTGAGTAAGAGAATAATTCATATTTTATGTTTGCTAAAGCTTTTCCGAAATATCGTCCAAATTCGAGAAAAATTGTAGAATTTTCGCGGAAATGATCGTAAAATGCTCCATAATAATAATAATATTTCACAGTTATATAGATCTTAATACATTGATGATGTCTCTTAGCGCTTTAGGGATATATTATCACCCCGAGTTTCCCCGCACACAATGTATACAAATTCTCCCTTTCCGGGAGAGAATTTCAGCCAGGCGTCATTTTATACACGCTCACAATGCTGATCAACTTACATTACGTTCGCATCCTACCGGATACCCACTTAAAACCTGGGCGGAGAGTGGCAAGTGATTAAACATCTTGCCAAAAAGGAGGTTAGTGCCGGGATGGGATTTGAACCCCGTACCTTGAGATCTGCAGACCGGTGACTTATCCACTAGACCACAATACCTTTACCGTAATAAGTTGAGATAGCATGCACTCTCTCTCTCTCTCTCTCTCTTTCTCTCTCTCGATCACTTAGAATGTCAGTACACATTTCCCATAAAACTAAGAGTGCTCTTATTATCAAATTCAATCATATTCATACAAATATCTTAGATATTATCTCTGACATCGTTGTGGACATCAACCTCTGTTTATTTAGATTCTACCTGAAATTCTATTTTCATACGTCTGAAATCATCCAGCAAAACATTTTTATGGTTTGCTGGATTTCATGTCCTATTATTTTAGGGACGATAGCTGATGATCCTCGAAAAAGTGTATCAAAATGGAAAATGCGATTGATCGTTATTTATAATCAAAAATGCTTTCTGTTATAATTGTATTGGTATCACTTGTAGGAATATTTGTTTGTCATTATTGTTATTATTCTTATTAATAATAATCATTGCGTATAATTGGTTTTCATTATTTTCTGTTTTCATTATTGATAATTTAAGATAGTTACGTTGGGTTTCTCCCTCTTTCTCTCCCTCTGTTTCCGATCTTACTGAAAAAAGGGTTAAAATTTTACACGTCGTAGATACAAAATTTGATTGTAAATATTTTGTATCAAGAACGGTCTGCTTATAACGATTTGAAATAACGTAGCTAAGTGTTATCTTACACGCTCCTTCAGAACTAGACTAAACATAATGAAACATGGTGAAACGTGGGATGATAATATTAAGTACTATATATATCCAGATTATTATTATCATTAATATGCGAAACGACTTGAAATACCTACCGATAGGTATTTGGCAGATATGTCGTCTTTCTGATGTGCACGTTACTCGGTTCCATCGTCCATGTACTGGGTCAGTGAGGCTCGATTGAGACCTCATCACAGCACAGTAAGGTGGTGGTTGGTTCGGGTCGGTATATAGAGGAGAATCCCAGTTGGTGTACCTTGAAAGTGATTAATTCATATAAATTAAATATGATTAGCGATACAACTTGTATGTATGCATATCATATATACAACTTTACTACATCACGACTCGAGTGTCTTTGGAAAAAAGTATATTGAAACTCCTGGTAAATTAATATAAATTGCCTATGACTAATATTGTAAGGGTATTGAATTGGTAGTTTTTAAGCGTGTTACTCGGAGTTTTTCATTCATTCGTTGACAAAAATTGAGCTTAGAGCAAGTATTAAGCTGTAAATTACCGTAGCATGAGAAATTATTGATAACAGATTAAGAATAAAAATAACAGATTTGTTTCGTGAAGAAAGCCTAATTTCATCTTTTTTCGTTGGGATACGGAAAACCGTGAGACGCAAACTTGATTTAGTGGCGTGACACGCTTTCAGAGTCGGTCATTTTTTTTCCTCATTCGTTAGGTGGAAAGGTGCATTTGCCACCACCCCTCCTCTTCAAATGGCTAGTGCACCTTTTCCGCACTCATATACCTATACATCAACAGAATTATAATGACATATGTAATCAGGTAATGAAGAAATCATTATGGGGAAACAAATATGGGGAAAAAAAGAGTGGCATTATATTACAATGATAGTTGATACATACCCAAGGGCCGTTCCATCAATCCATCTGTATGTACCACCCTCAATAATGTCTTCTAAGCCGATGTAATAGTTTCCTCTATTACTATATGTTAATAATTTCCCAGCTATGAAATCCTGTATGTTATAAATACAACATGATAAATGTGGATGTTTACATCAAAGTGGCATTAGTACCATCACCATTAGTACTCAAAAGCTATTAAACTGCGATATGCCAAGCAGGGGCGGATCCAACCGGCGGCAAGAGGGAGGGGGGGGGGGGGTGATCCTGTAGGATTTTTGTTTGTTTGCTGTTTTGGCTTCAAAAGGGTCCCAATTGGCCAAAAATGATGGGGTTCAAATGTTCAGATCCCTCCTTCATTTTCTGGGGGGTCCATATTGGGCGCCAAAATATCACATATAACGCGCAATAGGGAAATTTGGTGTCTTCGGGAAAATTTGAACCCCATCAATTTCTGATAGCTTAGACCCCAATGAATCCAGTTCCAGTGACATACCGTACCACACTATTATGTATTAAAGATTAAACCTTTTCTGGTTTTCTCCTGGTTTATTTAATTTTGTCACGTGTGAGCGGTAAGCAATGGTTCATAATATACATAATACTTTGCGCTATAGCCCGAAATAACCCGAACTATACGTTAGAAATTTCTCCTTGTCACTACTCATCAATACATGAAAATCATTAGCTTTAAGGTTATTCCTACATAATTAAAAATGACAGAACAGGAGAAATCAGAAAAATTGAAAGACAGTAATCATCCGAGTTAAAAACCGGAAGGGGAGGTGGGGGGGGGGGGGGGGTGGGGGTGGTTACTTGCCTAATACGGTATACGGGGATGTAACGCTCTGGTGATTACTTTTTTGCTAAACATGGGGAATGATTTTGTGCTTCAAAATCCCTAAAATTGCCCCACTTTTCAGATCTTGGCCTTAAACATTGATTACCATTTTCTTCAGGATAATATCTCACCCATAATTTCGCTAATTCGAAATGAAAATTCCAGATGCAAAATCCCGCAACAATACTTGAAATAATTTCGCTTTTTCATCGAAAGTCCTCGCCGATGGTCGCAAAGATTTATCAATATCATTAATTTGAGCCCCGCTACCTCCGGAAAAATACCCCCTAGGAAAGTTGTCCTAGAGTATGGTTGTCGTAGGGGTAGTTGTCTGGGAGGTACTTGTCCGGGGGGGGGGGGGAAGTTGTCCTATGGGATAGTTTCCTGGGGGCAGTTGTCCGGGGGTAGTTTAATTTCAATTTCAATTTATTCAACCATAAAAAATACATATACAATAATTTGTGAAAATATGAAAATAGGTTAGGAGCCCCTGAAGAAGTTTGAAAACAAAGTTGTGGTTGGGGCACCAACCATGACACATTATATCGAGAAATTAACAAAAACAACATTAACAGGGAAAAAATATATACAAGAAAAAGATTATAAAGATGACATTTAGAGCAAAGCACCAGCAATGACGCACACAGCACAAGGTGTCAAGCGACACTGCATCCCTATATGCGCCCTTTGCTGGTGCTTTGCAGTATTACAAAACGAATTTAAAAAAGGACATGTGGAGCAAATTATTCATTATTTAATTGGGCGTGGTTTTATACTGCAAGAACATTTCATTCTTCAAGAGTTTTTTTAAAAATTGATCAAGATATTTACTTAGTTTAATATCATTGTCTAGGTCATTCCATAACTTAATTCCATTACAACGTAAGGATTTTTGACTAATTGTCCCGGGAGGTAGTCGTTCTAGAGGGTTGTTGCCCTAGGGGGTAGTTGTCCTCGGGGGTAGTTGACTTAAAGCAGTTATCCGGGGGGTGGATGTCCAGGGGGTAGGTGTCCTAGAACCCTATATACCATGTATACAAATATGTGTTGAGGTTCAATTAGAATATTAGAATATGATTTGTTGATTTCAGTCTTGGCAACATTTCACTGCCCTATTTGGTCTGAATAAGTAAAAAGTTACCCAAATCCTGATACTTCATAGAACTAGAATGCAACGGTTGAAAGGAACTTGCCACGTTTCATTGTAAAAAACTGTATATTTTGTTAAATGTCAAGTTTTGCTCCATAAAAACTTATAATTATATGATGTAATTAAACGTACGTACGTACATTTTGTTCAGCTGATGTGATGATTGGCATGTCACCCCCTAAGCTTTGACAGAGTGCACGTGTGGCAGAGAATGTCCTGTATATACCATCATTACCATGGTAGAAGAGATACTGATAGCCACCAAACACATCCAACCCTGATGAAGAACACTCCTGACATTCAACTGTAAGATATTGAGGAAAAAAAAGCATCAACACGGTAGTCTCCACGGTAGGGATTCACTATAAACCGCTTTATTGGTAAATACTCTTGACTCTCATACGAGACGTCGATTATCTTCTCTTTTCCCCTCTTTTGGCTGATATTTTTCAATTTTGAATGCTTTAACACATATCTTTTGATTCATTAAACATTTTGTTTAACAAAAAACGATTACTAATTTTTATAGAAAAAGCTGACAGTACATTTTTTGATTTTTGGGCCGGCCGCAAAGGGCAATACAACAATGTAAGCCTAGTGATAGCCTCAATAATAAAGCAGTTGCCAATTACAGTTTTTAATGTTCAAACATTCAAAATGTCCTGTTCACGAAAACGTGACTGACTGACTGGTAATGAACAATAAACAAGTGTCAGCACTTTTGACTTTTATAGGCAAACCCATGCTTTTAGAATTTTTTGTTAAATTAAGTTCATTCATTTCCATAAAAATCACATTACAAGAACACATACATTTGCAAAAGGTACTATAAAAATAAAATGCAAAATATTTCATTATAATATACATAAATACATTAAAATATGAAACAATAATGGAAAAAGGGAAGTTATAGAAACCTAAATAAATGAGTCTTCGAGATATCTCCCCCAAAATAATTAAACAAAATGTGATGAACATAATAAAGATTTGAAATTACATACAATTATTTTGCCCCAGAGAGAACTGGTATAACAGAAACAAAACAAAAAACCATTCAAGCCCTACAAATACACACACACATTTTTATGTACAAGGTGGAAAAGTATTCTACTCAAAATCACATGTGATTAGATGCTGCCTTACACTTCTTTTAAATCCATTGTAATTCGTTATAGATGTTATGTTATTAGACAAAGTATTCCATATTGTTGGTGCTTTATGTCTGAAAGAAAATAATAAATAAGATTTTTCAACAACCCACATATGATATTTATTTTTATTCGTCGTATTATATGTATGAACTGCATTATTGAGTGAAAGCATATTGTTAAGTGAACTGGGCAAAAACCTTGATTGTGTTTAAATAATAAAATTGAGATGCAATATTGTTTAATTGATACACATCAAGAGTCTTGAGATTCATCAATAATGGTTTAGTATGGGCACGATAAGAAGTTAGAGAGCAAATTCTAACCACTTTCTTCTGCAACAAACAAAAAGAGAGTTCAATTTTGACTTGTAGGTATTTGCCCAAACAGTATTGCAATAAGTTAAATATGGTAAAACAAATGTATCGTACAACAATATCAATATGCTTTGAGGTAAAACTGTGCGGAGTTTACCAACGATACTAACACTCTTTGACACTTTATTAGTAATAGGCTAAACAAAATATAGTCCAGGCATAATTTGATATGACCTCCCACTAATTGCAACAGAAAATGTCTCGACTGTTTTGTGCTCTTGGAGGTGTCCATTATAACATATCAAAAGTCTTAAGGAATCCGGGTGGGGGAAAGTGCCATGGCGGCCATTTTTTCAAAATGGCCGCCATGTATAACTAATATTGTACAATTCTGGGGATTTCTTTTTAACAGCACCTCATTTTACCATGAATAAGGTGTCATATGAAAGACAATTACATTTCCTACAAGATGATACCTCATTCATTGGGTTTCGGGATGATTTGATTACCAATTTTGAGCCAAAAGTGTAATTTTTTACCATTTTTTTCAAAAATGTGAATTGTGCCAAAATACATATTTCTCCATATTTATTTGATTCTTATGCTAACCAACTTAAAAATTGCTGAAAGACTTTTCAGCATCTTGGTTGAAATCATATCTTAATTTCAAGTCTATTACTTTTCAAATTAAAAAGTTATAGCGCTCTAAAGTTGAAACTTTGTTATGAGCCAAAATGGCAAATTTGGTTGTTAAGGGCTATCTTCTCCTTAGCAACGGTAACATATTGGCGTGAGAAATAGAATATATCACGAGAAATTGCTATCACCAAGCAGGTGACTAATTTTATAGGAAGTATGATGTCAAATGATGCATTTTCATCCAATTTTAATGATAAATATTGCTTAGTTACCGTTACTATGGTAATAATATGCCTAGCAACCGATATAAAACACATATTTTTGTTGTAAATCTAATATTTCCCATATCTCTGCTTCTAAATAACATAGAGAGTTTTGATTTTAAGTGCTAAACATACATTTTCAAAGACAAGGAATCAAATTAATTAAATTTTAATGAGCTAAACCTAGCCAAAAAGCCAAAACGGCAGCCATTTTCCAAAATGGCCGCCATAAACCTGATATTTCGCAATATCTCTGCTTGTAAATGACTTAGGGCTTTGATTTTCAGTGCTAAATATACATTTTCTGGGCCCAGGAATCCTTTGAAACACATTTCAATGAGCTAAACCTGACCACAAAGCCGAAATGGCAGCCATTTTCCCAAATGGCTGCCATAAACCTGATAATTCCCAATATTTCTGCTTCTAAAGGCTTAGAATTTTAGTGCAAAACGCACATTTTCTGGGACTAGGAATCCAATGACACACATTTCAATAAGCTAAACCTGACCAAAAAGCATTATTCTGAGGATGTGTCAACTATATATTATGGCATGCCGTATGCCTGATGGACAACGTACATGTATAGGTCATAATTGTTCAAGGACATTATCTTGTAATCCTGTGACGAAAGGAAGGATGCCAGAAACAGTCAAAGCCCGTGTCCTCCATGTGCATGACCTTCATGCTGCAGATGCAGTGTACCACCTGGTCTACAGTGTTAACTAATGCTGTGATGTCTCATGGAACAGACATACCTGATTTCAGTTCGGAGTTTGTCTAGTATGTTGCAAACAAATGTAGACCACATCATCTGTACTCTTTATGGTAACGATACATTCCATGGCATGGGGATGATTGCTGCCATAACCCCAGCCACCAAGACCAGCAGACCTACCCTCAGGGCGCAGGTCACCTCCATCGATATCTCCACAGTGGGACGTATTCCTATCCATTACCACAAAGATGAGAGAGCCGCGGTATGACAACACTGACATACCAGAAGGTGATCAACATGAAGGCAAAGGACCCAACAGCAGACCTTCATCTCATGTGGAAGACATCCGTTATGTTCACCTCACCAAGACCGGCATGGTCTGGACTGATGCAGCTAGTGCATCATGGTGACCACCCCGGGAAATCATCGGTGATGTTTCTCCCAATGATCGACATGAATCCCAGCGATGTCACTTGCATCTATTCCACACTGAAGTTTGTGTGTGAGCATGCTTGTCGCCATGGTGTAACGCCCATCATCACCTTTGACCAACCACTATGGTGGCTAGCCCTCATGATCATCGAAACTGAGCCCACAGGAAGTGTTTTGAATGACATGCTCGCGCCTGGGAGGCTTTCACACATAAATTAGTTTCTTGGGAAGCAATCTATGCAGATAACGCGGTGGTACACATGATGTCAAGCAAGGCTATTGCACGATCAATACGGGGACATCTACTTGTTGATGCAGCACTGAACGCCTTGATTTTGTCAGACGCACTTGGTATGCCACTCCCTCAACCATCTGCAGATCCACATGAAGTGGAGGAGACCAATGAGGCAACAGTGTCACCAGATGATGAGCCTACGACAAACGGAACTGGAAACGCTGATCTTGATGAACGTGTTCCCCTTTACAAGAATCTGATGGAAGGTTCTGTGTCTGCAGAGGAGTTCTGCCAAGCTGATGTTTTAAACAGAATCAAGAAGCTCCTCTGGGCCAAAACCGAATCCTTGAAGTCCTCTAGGACCGCCACACTTTGGCTACAGTACTTGGAGATGGTTGAAATACCACGGAAGTTTATTAGAGCAGAGCGCATTGGCAACTGGGCGTTGCACCTTGAAGCTGTGTCAGAAATGTTGCCCTACCTGGCAGCCTCTGGGCACAACCTCTACACCAAATCAATCCGCCTCTATGTGTAGCAAATGAGCAAGCTCAAGGATGAACATCCAGATGTGTACCAACGATTCAAAGAAGGGTTCCATGTTGTCAGAAGAAGTGATCGCCTATGGGCTGGTCTGTCCGTAGATCTCACCATCGAACAGGTCCTAATGAGGAGCATGAAGACCAGCGGTGGCCTGACGAGAGGGCGAGGCATGGCAGAGCAACAGCGTCTCATATGGCTGCTCTCCATGCCTGCCTAGTGCTGAAGTCAACAATGCTATTCAACAGCTTACAGGTGTAAACTATAACACTGGTGAACAAAACAAGGGCATGAAAAATGCTAGACAAGCACGTGACATGAAAGACACACATGCAGTTATCAGCTGTCTGAAAGAGAGAAAACCCTTCAGCTCAGATCCGAGCTTGCGCAGCATTTCGACATGGGTACATGCAACCAGAAAAGTCAATGTGGATTCAGCAAAAACTGTTGGAACAGCAATCCTGACCAACATGGATGGACAAATTGCTGCTGACTACACATTCAAGGGGGAAGGGTCAGGCTATCACTTTGGCTTTGAAATCGGCAGTAAAGATTGATGGTGAGTCAGTACAAGTGGATCCCCAGCTGCTTTTCCAGCGACTGACAATTGCTGCGAAAGCTACAGAGGCTCTAGAGTCTGTGTTCAAATATGAGCTCTGCAGTTACCCACCAACTCTGTTTGATTCCTCACTGCTGCTCCGACAGCCACATAAGCCAGTGCTAGCAGATGCTATCAGGACACTCCTGACAAAGGATGCACCAGGAATCACAGGCCAAGTCCACTACGTGTTGGATGTTGGGACACTAGTTCAGCGCATTCCATAGGCACGTGGCTCAACATACAAATGTATCCGCACGCAATACACAGAGTATGTCCCAAAGAAGTATGGACAGGCAACAGTCGTGTTTGATGGATATGATGGTACATCAACAAAGGATACAGCACACCAAAGACGTGCAAGAGGGAATGCTGGAGCAACGGTGACGTTTGATGAAGATATGCAGGCTACAATGAAGTAGGAACAATTCCTGGCAAACAAGACAAATAAGCAGCACTTCATAAACATGTTCAGCACCAAACTATAGGGGCAAAGAACTGCCAGACACATCATGCTGCAGGTGACGCTGGTCTACTCATAGTGCAGAAAGCAGTGGAGTCTGCAGCCACCACTGATACTGTGCTGATCGGAGATGACACAGATCTACTCATCTTGCTCATCTACCACACCAACCTCGAGTCATGTGACCTGTTCTTCCAACCCGAGCCAAAGAAGAATGTGAAGAAACCGCGTGTCTGGAACATGAAGTCTGTCAAACAGCAGTTAGGCCCTGATGTTTCACAGCACATTTTCTTCATGCACGCTCTCCTGGGATGTGATACTACTTCCCGCGTGCATGGCTTTGACAAGGGAGCTTCCCTTCACAAATTTAAAACCAGTGCGCAGTGCGCACTTCCGTTAACAAGCAATTGTGTTTGACAGACCGACAGCGTCCACCGATGATGTTGTAGATCGAAGCAGGAGAGAAAGCCTTGGCTTGCCTGTACAATGGGAAGCCTGCAGAGTCACCCAACGTGGTGCGACATAAGCGGTTCTGCTAGAAGGTCGCCTCCAGCATTTCTCATGTGCAACCCCAAAGTCTACCGCCCACATCAGCAGCAGCGAAACACCACAGCCTTCGTGCCTACTACCAGGTCCGGCAGTGGAAGGGCATTGCAGCTGATGAGCTACAATCAGATGACTGGCGGGAAAGCAGTGGAGGAGTCATGCTCGTACACACGGACTTGCCACCAGCTCTAGAAGAGCTCCTCAAGATGATCCGCTGCAACTGCCAAATAGACTGCAGCAGTCTGAAGTGCACCTGCAAGAAGCAGAGCATAGAGTGCTCAGCTGCATGTGGCAACTGTAGAGGGTCAGCATGCACGAACTCAACCCAAGTTGCATGTGACAGTGATGAAGATGAATAGACTTTTTGAGGAAGATTGATATATCGAAGACGGTAGTCTGAGGCTATGGTAACTACATGCAGTATTATAATAATTATGACCTATACATGAACGTTGTCCATCAGGCATACGGCATGCCATGGTATATAGTTGACACATCCTCAGAATAATGCTTTTTGGTCAGGTTTAGCTTATTGAAATGTGTGTCATCGGATTCCTAGCCCCAGAAAATGTACGTTTGCACTATAATTTTAAGCCTTTAGAAGCAGAAATATTGGGAATTATCAGGTTTATGGCAGCCATTTGGGAAAATGGCTGCCATTTCGGCTTTGTGGTCAGGTTTAGCTCATTGAAATGTGTTTCAAAGGATTCCTGGGCCCAGAAAACGTATATTTAGCCCTGAAAATCAAAGCCCTAAGTCATTTACAAGTAGAGATATTGCGAAATATCAGGTTTATGGCGGCCATTTTGGAAAATGGCTGCCGTTTCGGCTTTTTGGCTAGGTTTAGCTCATTAAAATTTAATTAATTTGATTCCTTGTCTCTGAAAATGTATGTTTAGCACTTAAAATCAAAACTCTCTATGTTATTTAGAAGCAGAAATATGGGAAATATTAGATTTACAACAAAAATATGTGTTTTATATCGGTTGCTAGGCATATTATTACCATAGCAACGGGAACTAAGCAATATTTATCATTAAAATTGGATGAAAATGCATCATTTGACATCATACTTCCTATAAAAGTAGTCACCTGCTTGGTGATAGCAATTTCTCGTGATATATTCTATTTCTCACGCCAATATGTTACCGTTGCTAAGGAGAAGATAGCCCTTAGCAACCAAATTTGCTATTTTGGCTCATAACAAAGTTTCAACTTTAGAGCGCTATAACTTTTTAGTTTGAAAAGTAATAGACTTGAAATTTGGATGTGATATCAACCAGGATGCTGAACAGTTTTTCAGCAAGTTTCAAGTCGGTTAGCATAATAATCAAATAAATATGGAGAAATATGTATTTTGGCGCAATTCACATTTTTGAAAAAAATGGTAAAAAATCACACTTTTGGCTAAAAATTGGTAAGCAAATCATCCCAAAACCTATTGAATGAGGTATCATCTTGTAGGAAATGTAGTTGTCTTTCATATGACACCTTATTCATGGTAAAATAAGGTGCTGTTAAAAAGTGATCCCCATAATTGTACAACAGTAGTTACACATGGCGGCCATTTTGAAAAATGGCCGCCACGGAACTTTCCCCCGCCTGGATTCCTTAAGACTTTTGATATGTTATAGAGGACATATTTTCGGGTATAAAACAGTTGACAGACTTTCTGTTGCAATTAGTGGGAGGTTGACCCCCTTTTTTTCACGAAATGCCTGGACTAATATGGTCAGTCCATGACATACTTTCATTAATGAAAACCCCTACAAATTTAACTGTGTGGACTCTTTGGATAACTTTATCATTCATTGATATTTTTAAATATTCAGAAATGTTGGAATGAATTGTGATATTCTATTGTAAAAATATATTAAATTGGATTTTTCAGTATTTAAAGACAATCAATTACTATTAAAGCAGTATGACACGTTAGTCAATTTATCGTTCAAATCATCATTAATTGATGAATAATTATCTGTTGAGTAAAGAATGTTGGTATCATCGGCAAATAATATAAACTTCAATTTACTTGGGCCGAGGATTGAACCTTGGGGCACATCGCATGTTACACTTAATGGATCAGATAATATATTTTGGTACAAAACCTGTTGAGTTCGGCCATGAAAATAATTCTCAAACCAAGATAAGGATAATCCCCTAATTCCATAGCTATTTAATTTGTCAAATAATATTGCAAAATCAGTAGAGTCGATAGCCTTTGTGAGGTCCAAGAAAACTCCAAGAGTATACAATGTTTTACTAAAAGAACGAGTGACATAATCATGTAAATCGATTAAAGCCATTTCAGATGAGGAACGTTTAAGAAAACCATATTGACAGGTGGCAAAGAATGACTGGGAAGAAATGAAATCAAACGTCCTGTTGTAAACAATTTTTTCTAGAATTATTGAAAAGAAAGTGAGA